CGATCGATGTCATAAAAGTCAACAAGAACAAGAGTTTATGGTACATTTAACGTTTGCCGAAGGTTCCGACTCCATCCTTCATAGTGGTTAAATTTGTAGAGCGCACATTAACATCGAAAAAGAAAAAATAAAATATTCCTATTATCTTAAAGAGGACCATACGAAAAAAGAAATGTCGTTAGTACGCGTAATTGTTTTTACTCTTAATGCCCGCGAATATAATCCGTGGTTCTATTTATCGGAAATTCACCTAATTTAACGACTTAAAAAATGGAACTCGAAAGCAGACAACAATACATGATAGACAAACAAGAAGAGTTGAAAATAAAGTTGAGACAGTGCAATACATGCAGGAAAACATGGAGTAGAATCGATTCTTTTTTCAAAACAGTGAGCAAAGTTCTAACGTCAGGAGTAACGGTGGCAACGGCCGTGACTGGTGGATTAATGCTTCCGGTCATCGTCCCAACCGTATTGGCTGCATTAACAGCCGTTCAAACGACTTCTTGTGGTCTCATCACTTTAGGTTTCACGAGCAAAAAGAAAGCTCATTATAAAAAGAAAACGGATATCTTGAATATGTATCTTAATCAATTGTACAACTTTTTCGAAAGATCGAGAGAAGACAAGAACATAACAGTTGAAGAATTACAAGAATTCAATGAAATTTTGGACAAATTCCATACAGAAATATCAGCGGTCAAAATAAAGAAATAATCAAAAATATATACTTAAAAAAATATGAATAAAATCGAACTTGCAGACGATGAAACATTGATAGAAAACGCCCTATTTTCCAATGTTATCAAGGCTATCTCTGATAAATTTAAAACATTCAAAGGACAAATTAAAATAGATGGAGAGATAGTCGAGGAAGGGAATCACAGACAATACATGTCACTCCTCGGTTTCAATGCCAAAACTTTTCACAATATCTTTTCAAATATGGACAAAAAATTCGATGCTTCCGATTGGTATTTTACAGGAAAAATAATTTTAATGAAAGACAATTTCCAAGAAATAAAAAGATCGAGAGTTGGCAGAGGAGGAACTGATCTACTAAAAAGGATCAATGAATACGAAGGCGAAAATTGTTACATACCTACAGATGGTCACTGTTTTATAAAATGCGTCAATCGTGTTTTAAACGAAGACTACACGAGAGAATTTCAAGAATACATCAACGGGTTTTCAAAAGCAAATAGAAAAGGAGTGATGACTTGTGCTAGAATGAAGGAATTCAACAAGAAATTCAACACTTCGTTTCATATTTATAATCCCGAAAACAGACATTTTCATCCCAGAGATTAGATTGGGTTTTTTACTTACACAACTCGCATTTCTGTCTGATTAGAAGAAGCCAAAAAAGTTTGGGCATTCAAGAAATAGAAGACAATTACGAACAGGTGTGGAAAACTTGTAGAGACGATAACGCAGTAACACAGGTTTCACCCCTCAAACTAAAGGTGCTTTCGAGTATGAGCGACGAAGCGTTATTCGCATGGGATTGCGAAACGTATTCAGAAAGAGACACGCGAAGAGCAATTCCTTATGCCTGCACTTTAATTAATTTAGAAAAACTAAGAAAAAAGTTAGAAACGATAAAAAATATCTTTCCAAATATAAATCCTACTGATAATGTTCCAGAAGAATTTTATGATAAACTAATGAATGTAGTAGAACTATTTGTAGGTACAGATTGTATAGATCAAATGTTGAAATATTTAGGTCAGTATGATAGAAAGAGATTAATATTAATTTCTCATAACGGCAGTGGATTCGACAACTGGATCGTGCTTAAAAATGCAAAAAAACTAACGCATTGCCCTTAAAAACACCCAGAGGAATTCTATCTTTTCCTTTATCTAATCCATTCACGGATGAAGATTTACAGAAAAAATGGAAAAGACAGAAAGAAATAAAGGGTAATTATTTACAACATGTTAATTTCACGTGTTCCTATCAACACGAATCCTCTAGTTTGGCTGCATGGGGAAATTCTTCCAATCTTCCCGCGAATTTGAGAAAGATTGCCGACGTAGATATCGCTAAATACACGCAAGACAACTGGGAGGAATTGAGACACGAATGGGAACCTTACGCCAAGAGAGACACTCTCTGTTTGGGAGCTTGTTTGATAAAATACAAGTCACGAAAGAAGTTGTAAACCAGAATATGTCCAATAATCTAACGGCTCCATCTTTATCTTTAAAGGGTTGGTATTATTTATATCATTACGATAAAGAAATGGTGGAA